TGACAGGCGAAGAAATTCAGACACACTTTGAATCATCAACGCATCATTTGATTGCTGGTGGGAGTGGATGTTTTTAATTCATCTCGTCCGTCGTTGTCTGTGAAGACAGGCTTACTTATTTGTCTAATAAACCGAGCAATAGCACTAAGTAGTACAACAACAAAAAACCTAAACAATGAAATGAAACAGATAGAAGAAGAGGTGTTAAATAACCAACTATCCTATGAAATTCATTAGGAAGATCAAAAAAGGTCAATAGCAAAATAAAAAATAATGGTGAAATCAATAATGATAACATAAACTGAGAGAGAATATAAGGCATCTACAGTTTTACCATAGAAGGAGAGGACATCGGAGACCCTGTGTAGGATTCTTAATAAAGTAAGAATTAGAGTGGAATTTAAAACTACGAGCTCACTACTCAGAAACAAGCTCTGTAGGCTAAACGACCTGCTGGACACAATTAAGCAAAATAATATAATTTACAAAATACCTTGCAATGATTGTGAGTTAAGTGAACTACATAACTTAAACTAGTAGATCGGGCCTAGTGAGATTATCAGAACATAGGAATTTAGCGAAGGTTACAATGATTGATCCCAAGAAGATAAGTAATTTAGAGAAAAACTCAGCAATCGCACTGCATGTATTGACACGCAACTACACAATAGAGTGTGACAGATATATAGTTCTAAAAAGTAAAATCGATAAATGGAGATAGAGGTTGATTACTGAATCTTTCTTTGTTCATAGGATCTACACCCAACATATGCAATAGAAATGACTCAACGCAAATGCCAGAGGTATGGAAGATATTATTACCAGTCAAATTAGAGGATAATAAATAATATTAAAATATATTCAATTCACATTATAACATTCTAACAAGTTATTCATTTATTTTACCATAAAAACATCTTATTACCCATTTTGTTGACTAACAACACTTGTACTTTGATTGGACACTAGTAACTAATGTGATGTGTCTAGTCCTTTCTTTGGCGCAGACTGAATTCTATCAGTCAGGTTTGCAATGTGGCTCGCTATCATGGTGCACATTGATTTGATGATATTAGATGGTTGGAGGCAATCGGCAGGAAGCCTTGGACCTAGGTTTCGTGCCTCCAACCACCTAATATCATCAAATCAATGTGCACCGTGATAGCGAGCTACCTAGAATGATGGCCACATAGCAAACCTGACTGATAGAATTCAGTCTGCGTCAAAGAAAGGACTAGACACATCACACTAGTGTCCAGTCAAAGTATCCACTACAGTCCTACAGGAGGTCAATCGCGAGCCCGAATAGCTCAGTGGTAAAGTCTCTGACGGCAGCGCTCACTAGGTGACGCAGGTTTGAATCTCAGAAGGGACATGATTTCGTTCAAGCCTGCTAACTGGTGAGTGCCAAATAGCACGAAACCCGGGTCCAAGGCCTCCTACCGATCGCCTCCAACCATCTTATATTAACAACACTTGTCTTATTTCCCATCCTATTGTATTATTTTGGCAACATTAATATTTTTTCCGAATGTACTTTACCTTATGTGTCGCGCAAGTCATATATTGATTTTATTCAAATGTCTAATCATCAATTTTTAATTATGTACATAAATGAAGCAAGAAAGTTATGTGAGTATTGCCTGGATATTATTATGAGCAACAATAAATGGTGTTCGAAAGATGGTCATCAGTAAATATGACTGTATAACACTGTGTGATTTTATCGAAATAAAATTTTGAGCCCTGATGGATGGGTACTGATGAGGAGTCCAAAACTAGGTCGAAAGAGCTGTCCACTACTCCCCCAGGTTTTCCATTGGTTCTCTAACCGATGTCATCCCATAGTCAAACTTGAAATAAATCAAATTCTTACAAACTGACTCTTTGAAATTAACCCAAGGTTCGCTAACGACCGGTTACAGGAAGAAGTTTCCTGTAGTTTCTTTTGGGAATTCTTGACCGTTGAGGTTCACCATGTTGGATGTGAGGATAAACACTCACCAACGCCATTGGCTAGTGATCACATTAAAATCTTGAATTGGTAGAAGTTGGATTTTATGTGCCATAGGGTGAATTCCTAATGGCTGAATGATCGACGAGCTTTCCTAGTAACTGAAAAGTTCTAGTTTTGAATCCCCGTGTATGTGTACTGTGAAGAGTCTTAAACTAGGACGAAACAACATTCCAGTACTTCCTGTTTTTCAGTGGTTCTCTAACTAACATCAATTCGTCAAACAATTAATTGAATCCCTACAAACTAAATCTTGGAAATAAACCTACTCTGCTTAGGAGTTTTGAATCTGTTTTATGAAATTTTCGTCTCTTACAAAATAATTTAGAATTGGCGCTAATTTAGTCAAATGCTAGTGATAACCTTCGAATTAAACAAGCCGAACTAAGGGAAATACAACTGCTAACAAGATTATCACTTCTTTTTCATTTTCCGATTGACTGACTCACTGAGTTTCAACACAGAACTTTGCACAGATGTGCAGCATTTCCTGCTGTTACATTCCATATAGCACACAAAGGTATTGAAGAAAGAAAAACAAATTCCAAAGAACCATATTAATAGCCACAAATGCGTGGCAAAAAGAATAGTGTAGCAAAGAAAAACATGAGGATTTTATGAATATGAGGGATTACCAAGGAGTGATTGCATCTGCGTCATTGAGGAAGATTTTAAAACATATCACTAACAGTCTTCAGCAAATGGTTCTTAGAATCCGGAAGACCTCAACCAGTCAGTCGCCTGTCTGTCTGTCTATCTCAAAATAGTTTTCGGAGACTTTACGAATTGATTCCAACATAATCCTTATGTTGGCTAACATTGCCTTTTGAGGAGGACGATTCATCGGTATGTGCAACACCTGTTCTGGCCGTATCAATCGGTCCACCTTCATATTGGTTGGGTTACTCTCTTTACGGTTGTGAACCTACATCGATTGGGATGTCTAAGAAATGTGTTGTGTATGCCGAGCCATCGCCTTTAGTTGACGAGCAATATTAGCCGACATTAAATTAGATGGGAAGTGTTTTGGTTGGTCGAACTGAAACCTAAAGTCATTGAGAGTTGGGTTTGAAGGAGCCGCGTAGGGACGTGTCGACTGCCTGTTTATGGTTCTTGAGATTGTAATAACCACTGTCTTGAGACTATTGGTGATTTAGTTCAAAATCGTTCTCAATGGTCCAGATACATTCATATTCTGTGATCCCCTACATCTATTAGACGGTCTTGTTTTCCTATGCTCTTATCCTTCTCCTTCACATTTTATACTTCTGTGTAAAGTTCAATGTTAAAATTCAGTCAATCAATACACTCTTTACCTAACACTCCAATCCTAACTTCAATAATGCTCACTATATTTTACCACTTAACATTAGTGAGAGATAGAAAGGTGACACATGTGGTCAAAGACTGGCAACGTTTTGCATATCTTCCTCTGTCATTGGTCATGCCTCACAGCCTTAAAGAAAGATGAAGTAAACTGCTGCACAGTAGACACATCCTTCGGTTGATAGCTTGCATATCACGTCTACACTGGAGATAACATAAGTGACTAAATGCTACACAGTAGTAGCTTTTTGTATTTGTGTTGAAATGTTGTCATCAATCAACACGAGTTTACTGATATCTTATCTTCATTTTACCATTCTTCTTTTCTCCATTTTTCTAAAAAAAACAAAACAATATTATCAACACATTTGTGTGTAATTATTCAATTAGCCGTTGACATCCGATGAGTCATCTGGTCAAATGAATACAAATCAAGAAGATAATAGAGGATGTTCATATCATTCAACAACAGGCGAATTCAAATATGCTCTTCCTCATGAATATTCTCATAATTTTGCATTGTCGACAACTACTGTACATGATGTGTCTACTACTATGGAAGTATCTAAAAACGGTGAGTTGTTAATGCTGATTATTTGATTGTCTGCATGTTGGGTGATTCATCGGTAGAATTACCTACCCGCCAACTACGCCGTACGTGATCAGGTGTTAGATCACCGACCAACGCATTGCGCTAAACCTCGCTTATCTGGTGTTAGTAAGCTCTCGATAAAGAAGGGCGGAAGGTTGAACGTGAGGCTAGCGACCCCACCCGGTAAGAAATAAACACCACGAAGCTGAATCTTGAAGTCCTATGTGTTTCAATCGAAACTCAAAGAATTAAAATGCAAAATAAATAAATTTGATTGTCCATTTGATATTTGATATTTGCGTTTACAAACGAGTATAAATTTTACTTTATCGAGTTTATTCACTTTGGTAACTTATTTGAGCTGTTCTTTGATATCCGATTATGCGACGAGTGTACATACGAGGGATTAGTGATCAAATATGGGAAATTGGGAACTATAATGCTAACTTTGTAAGTAAGAAAAGACCAATGAGGTTCGAAGGCAATGTTTATTAGGACAAACGCATTATAGGTACATAAATTTGGTATACCCTTATCTTTAAGTCTTTATTTGCACATCATTTGCAACCTGGTCGAATATCACCACATTCAATAGCTTGTTGGATTCTGCACAGTCTTGTAACGTTCTTCTTCTCACAGTTCTCTTCGTCGATTGCTTTTTCCAGTGCCCAAAACATGTTGCTTTTCTGAACTTGTTTACTGACGTACTACTTATATCTGATTATAAGTAGGAATCACCGCAAGTATACAGCGGTGCAGCAGCGCTTATTCCCTTTACAAAGATTCTGTGTATCTCCAATAACACGTCTGTGAAGTTCTTATCTCGTAGGACAGATTTCAAAGTATGGAATTCCATATTAGTTTGTTTATTTGATATATCACACAGTGAAACAGTATTATTTACTGGATTGGAACGGGGATGGGATCCAGTAAATAATACTGTTTCACTGTGTGATATATCAAATAAACAAACTAATATGGAATTACTTACTACCACAGTGCCCAAGTTTTACACATATATTCAAAGTATGGAGCCAAATAAAAAAACAACATTGGGATTAAATAATTCCTTAGAAATGCTGTATCTTACGTAAATCTCCTTTACACTTTGCAGTCTGTCGTATTAATTAATTCATTAAAATTTTCACCAGTATTTCACTTCCTCCCCCTAGGATAAGTGAATGAGTAGTCTTCAGTAGTAGTGTAAAAAGCTAGCTGAAGCCAAATGAATTGTAATCTGTGGATGTTCGCTGTGTTTCTAAAACTCCAGTTGTAATCCAAGTTATGTTATTCTATTGTTGTTTCGATTATCTTAAGGTTCAACAGTCAGTCCATATAGTGCTTCAGCTGTAGATATGAGATTAAGTTCTTGAGTAAGAAGAATACAAGGGGTAACAGACCTTCATTAGTCAGTGTCTGTAAGTATGGTATGTGCTTTGCGCCGTCTAAGTGCAAAGTACTGTCACAAGATTGGCAGGAGCCTGTACCTGCACCCACTCTTGTGGGTGAACCGCTTGAAGTTGTTGATAAGTTTGTGTATCTGGGTAGTTGTGTGAGTGCTGGCGGAGGGGTGACGGATGAGATTTCCAACCGTATCATGAAGGCTAGGGTGGCATACATCAACTTGAGCCACCTCTGGCGCCGTCGCGACGTTAGCCTGGCTGTCAAAGGTCGGGTATACAATGCTTCGGTGCGGGCTGTCTTGCTCTACATCTGTGAAACCTGGCCTCTCCGAGCTGAGGATGTGCGGCGACTCTGCGTGTTCGATCATCGCTGTCTCCGCAGGATTGCTTGCGTTCGATGGCATCATCGCGTGAGTAATTCTGAGGTTCGGCGGCGTGTGTTTGAACACAGTGGAGATCACCATTCACTGAGTGTCGTCATCTGGAAACACCGGCTTCGATGGCTTGGACATGTGCTGCGAATGTCATACCAGAGGCTTCCGTACAGGTCTGTGTTTGCTAGCCCTGGGACGGGATGGAAAAGGTGGAGGGGTGGTCAGTCCATGACGTGGCGTCGTGGGATGAAGGATATTTGTGCTAGATTAGCATCGGTTGGTGCGTCACGACTCCCTGGTTGGGGTCTGAGAGATAGCTCGAATCGATGGCTCGAAACGTTATCGGATATGGCCAAGAATCGTAATCAATGGCGAATGTGTTGCAATTTCCTTCTTTCTTCCCTTCCTGATGATAGTTAACGAATACTGTTTGAACTTGTTAAACATGACTGTTTTCTTTCCAGATGAAGTTCTTTATCCGTTTTCTACTTATATTTTTACTTTTAATCTATGTTGTTTTATTATTATTGTGTGGCGCATCTTTCTTGGTGCCATATTGTACCAAGTTTTTTTCTGCGTTTAAATATAATAGTCACAACTAGAAGTAATTAGATATGACAATAGATGATTCTTAGTTAGGCATTTTTGAAATATTTATTTAGAATATAATGTCTTTATTCAGCTTTTTAGGAGTGGTGTGGGTCATTAAACTGTTTCAGAATTCGTCATCTTTTAGAGATCTCAGGATTGATTATCACTTTTAATGAACTTAATGTATGTATGTGTGTGTATAGCTTAACTAACCATGTTGTTACATGAATTCGCTGAAAATTCATGAGTCCGCTAAACATTCTACAGAAAATGTGAGGTTGTTTGGAATATATATTTATAGCGTTTTGTAAAAGTTTTCTTTGATCATATTTAAGTGTGTTGAAAAAAGTAGTTAGTTTCTGATGTTCCCATTGCCTAAAGAATAATAACCGTTTCATGGTCAAAAGATTCTGGATTAAATTGCTATCCATTTTATTATTAGGAGTCAATCACCAAGAGGTTCGATCTAATATATACGTAACCTAAGATGATGGGCGACTTTCACATGCTTATTGCATGTAGACGTGTGTTCAGCTGCTCGTGTTAGGTACAACAACAATGATGAGTCAGTCAACATGCTTCATTATGCTTCATCCATTGACGATGAGGCTAGGACAAATGCTCTGCATACAGAACAACTGTCTACTTCAATCAGTAAATTTAACTGAATTAAGATTAGGCTGGAAAATGATTTAGAGATGGTCTAACCCAAAAAGTGGCGCATAAACTTAATCCACGTTAAGAGTTGTAAATATGATCTATCTATCTTGGATCCTCGAGATGTGTTAAGAATGGACGGTTGGGGATATTCAGTGATATGGCTCAGAATGGCTCAGACGTATTTTCTACTTGTCATTTCACTTATCTTCGTCACACTCATATTTATCTAACGGTTGACTGACTTGTTAGCGTAGAATATTACAGTACGTTAAGTTGCTGTACTTTTGAAAAGCAATGAAACCATAAAGGATGGGAGAGAGAATAATTGCATGAAGATCAATAATGATTGTCAGGTTGTCTACAAACAGTGAAAATGTCTACACCATTGCAAACGATTTTCAGTTATATCATGTACGGGTTCTTAGTACGCCCAAGCGAACAGTACACACCTCAATGTGTGGTTCAGAATTTCATAGATTGTTGCCACCTTTTGACCCCTTATCATCAACCCAGCCCTATTTTATTTAGGAGTAGTCATCGGGAAAGACTGTGGCTCAGAATGTGTGCCACATGTCTTATCCACCACAATCGAATATATCATTTCATTTGCCATAGGTTTTTAAAACTTGTCTCCTTCTTCGTCTCTTACTGTTGTTCACTGTTGTTACGAACACTTTGAGTCAGTATACCATTAGACCTCCTCGCCATGTTTGAAGTTCTCTGGTTGGTATTAGTCTGCTTGCACCAATCAGTTCAGATCAAGTTTATGTATTTTACGTTCGTTTTTGCGCTTCTGTTCCCTTATTGTCTACCATTTCGAAGTGTATCAAATGCAACTGACACACTTGTGCGCAGCTCTACACTAACTTATGTGATGTTAATCACAGTGTCTTCATGCGAAAATGCGTTTCTTGAATACTACAAAAACGTTTTGTTGATGATTGTCATTAAGGAAATAATTTAGGTGAAACAGGATATTTTGCTGATTGACTTCCGATATTTAACAGCAAAACTTAATACACCACAACGTTTACTTACTCTCAACTTGGTCATCAGCGTATTTTACAGTTGATTGCTATTCAATTCCTACGGAAAGTGTATACGTGTATCCACCTTCTATGTTTTTTACAAAATATGCTTTTACTCATTTCGATCAACCTTCTCTTGTTTATAGAAAAACCGTTATCTGCATTGGCGTCAACTTTTCTACCGAAGAATTCTATCAAAAACTCCACAGCTATTGAACAGGTAATCAATATTTTATCATAATATTGTGAATTTAACGTGTGCATCAGTATTTCACTGTTTTATATGTATGCACAACATTAATTAACGATAGAGTTGTGGTTCATCGGTATATAATCTCTTGGCTTCCAACCAGTGGGTTACGGCTTCGAACCCTCTCTGAACTTCATCGTTATTCGTAGGCCAGATAGTATCATCAACCCGCATACAAATATCAATTACTACCATCGTGACGAAACTAAAAGATGCTCTGGATGCAGAACTCCTCCCTGAACAAGCTGGGTTCACGAAAAGCAAATCATGTGCTGAGTAAATTGCAGCTCTATGCAATATCATTGAACAGAGCATAGAATGGCAGTCAAATCTCTACCTCAAAGTGAATACAGGAGTAAGACAAGACTGTCTGTCTGCTATCATCAATTATATTCCTAATTGTTGTGGGATGACTGCGTTATGCGGAAGACTGTGGAGACAGAGAGAGAAGACAGGGATTATTTTGAACCGACAAGAAGACTTAATAAGATTTGGACGTTGCACGTGTTTTATAGCTCGAAGATCCGGCGACAGGTTGACAGACGAAGCATGCTGAGAGGACAGAACTTCAAGTGAATGTGTAAGAAGACAGGGGCGAGGTGGTAGGTGAGAGATTATGTCTACTCGTGAAGCCAGCTAAAGAGGACTGCGGAGAACAGAATGAAATGGTCATATGTTGTTGAGAAGGCTTATGTTTCACTCATAAAACTACTCACTGCCTCTTTTAAGTAGGACATTTCACTGCGAATTATTTCTTGATGACCTTCTTCTAAATTATGGACATGATAGTCGTTTCATGTTCGGAAACACTTTCTTCTACGCTGTGATGGGTTATCCATTGTTTATTAGCTCTCATATTTTTTATATTCCAAAAGACCATAAATACACTACTACTACTACTACTACTAGTGTTTGCCACCACTTTTTTCAGTCTTACTGGGTTAGGTCAAGGTCTACCGCATAGTTTTTCGCCTGTGTATGATTGTATGAGAGAGAAAGATAGAGAGGTTGAATGTCTGCTAGCCTCTACTAACATGGGTGATTCACGCGCTTAAGACAGTATGGATCTAACAACCAGCAGTCTGACCTTGTTTATTCATTTCTGGACAAGTAAAGAATTTTGATGTGAATAAACAAAAGAAACAATAATCAGTAAACAAGATTTAACAAAACAGTAGAAAGGACAAGAGGGCGAAGAAAAACAAGCAGAAGAAGAAGAAGGAGAGAAACGTCTGGAAATTCAGTTCCTTGTTTTCTTTCTTATTTCTTATATATTAATATTGTGACCTGCTTATTTGTGAAGGTTGATTGAGAGGCAAACCACGTCCGTCCTATTTGTCTGACACATTTGAGCTTTTTCTAGTTTCACTACCACAGATATAATATATATATTCAATACACGTGTCAGTAGTCTGTCCTATCAGTGTGTTTTTCTACATTACTGTTGTTGGTTGTTTGGTTGTTGTTCATCTCAGCAGTGCATTTTGTCCGCTTGTGTTTACTTGTTTTGCTTGTATTAGTAGTACACAACCGATTTCTGACTGATGATGCTGTGATGATTCACTACTGCCACTACTGTGATAGCATTGTCTGTTTATTTACTGCCTCTTCTTGTTTTCTGTTTCTTTGTGTGTTTTCTTTTTCGTATCTTTCTTTTAGTGATATGAGTTTTATCTTTCATGATGTCTACTGTGAATATGGCTTACCATGATCAGTATTCATCAGTCTGAAGCATCTCAACGTTTGGCTTCGTTTCGTACACTCACTCACTCATGCACACACACACACACACGCCTCGAATGATCAGCTCATTATTAGTCATGTTGTGTAGGCCACTTAATTAGTTGACCGTTAGTTGTGATACAGATACATTGAAATGTACTAGTTAAAAGAATCGATGTTTTCTGTTTTGACTAAACTCTCTTAACACAATAACAATTTTCGATTACCTTGATATGTTAGTACACAGAATCTCAAGCTGTATGTCATTTTCTTTCTGAGAGTTTCAGTGCTTACTTCATCGTGTGGAGAGACATCGCTTAGCCTTCTTTTTTCAATGGCTTATGTGCGCCATAAGTCCGAAAATGTGATGTGTGTGGGTTTACGGCATACTAAGATTATGCCTGAAATAACAACCTCTTTTACCTACCTGGGGAGCATCGCTTCAACTACAGGCGGAACTGACGAGGATATCAAAGCAAGAATCGGAAAAGTAAGACAAGCTTTCACTACTCTCAAGTCTGTGTAGAGGTCAACAGCACTCAGCATCAAAAATAAAATCCAGATTTTCAACTCCAATGTGAAGTCAGTGCTACTATACGGATCAGAGATTTGACGCCGCGTTACGAAGACCACTTCGAACAAACTACAGACCTTCATTAACAGTCGTCTTCGTTCAATACTACTCAAGATCAGATGGCTGGCCAGAAAAGATCAGCAACAAGGATCTCTGGCAATGAGCGAACCAACACAGCAGGAACCGATTGTGAAACAAACAGGCAGGAAGAAATGGAGATGGATTGGCTGGCCATACTCTGAGGAAGCAAACCATCAAGTGACATCACTAGACAAGCCCTCGAGTGTGGCGAGTTAGTCGTCCAAGGGTGACTTGGAGGAGGTCATGTGAAGAGAAGATGAAAACGTGTGGGCAGACTTGGAGCCAGGTGAAGACTCTAGAAGAGAACCGAATGCAATGGAGACGCGCGGTTGAAGCCCTATGTTCCTCTAGGAATTAAAGGAAATAATAATAATACTGACATAGGGTGTGGTCTCTTCAATATGTCCCCGACTCGTCTCGATTTTATAGAGCATATTTGTTGGGCAATAGGGTTTTTGTTGGTTCGTTTCCAGAGTTCCTTGTAGCTAATCCCTTCTGGCCAGTTATCTAATCTTGAGTATGGATGGAGCCGACGAAGGCAGCTGTTGATAAAAGTCTATGGTAGTAGCCTGTTTGAATTGTGTGTTTGGTGACAAAGCAAGTCTCCGATTTGATATTAGCGTTCAAAATCTGAATCGTGTTCTCTACGCTTAGTGCAGTAGATTTCTTAGACTGATTTCAGATTAATGAAAATAAATGTTAATTACTACTGATTATTTTAATATAATTCAGAAAAAAGTACAACCGATCATTCAGAATTTAGCCATGATCATGTTTCACTAGTTGCGTGTATATTTGGGTCACTTCCTGTAATCGAAGTTATTATTATTATTATTGTTCCATTGGGTTCCTAGTGGAACATAGGGCTTCAACTGCACGTCTCCACTTGCTTCTGTCTTCTACTGTACTTTTCACCTGCATCCATGTTATTCCATACTGTTTCAACTCCTCTTCACACGATCTCCTCCATGTCACCCTTGGATGTCCCACTCGCCGCTTCCCTTTCGGGTTCCACTCGAGCTATGGCCTGACGCGCGATGTCACCCAGCGGCCTCCTCAGCGAGTGTCCAATCCATCTCCACTTTCTCCTGCATATTTGTTGAGCGATTGGTTCTTGTTTTGTTTGTTCGCATAGTTTCTTGTTGGTGATTCTTTCCTGCCATCTGATCTTGAGTATGGAACGAAGACAGCTGTTGATAAAGGTCTGCAACCTGTTGGAAATATTCTTTGTGACCCGCTGACGTTAATGCACTTGAAACTAGCTTGTACATGTGTGTGTGATTTAATTCAGTTGTCAGTTGGTAACATTACAAGTAATGTACTCAAATATTGGTGTAGAGATGTGGCTCTTTGACTTTAAGTCCTCAGCTATCATTCGATAGGTAACAAGTTCTGGTCCTGCTCCACCAACTTCAGTCTACTTCAACGATTGGAGTAGTTTGGACAGATCTCATACAGTAAGAGGTGTTCTTAGCCTGCTGGACTGAACCTAAATAAAGCAAACAAGCATTGGCACTGGTTGTTTTTGCTCATTGTGATGATGTCCTAGGAATAAAATACAAAACTGTATTGATGTTTGTTTTCAGCTGATTTTTACTATCCTAACCGATCACTTCTTGGTTTAGGTTCCGCAGATATAACTGACGTGCACAGAACTGCATCAGCTTTACTTGCCACTTTTCGGAAAAAATAAACATAATAGTGTTACAATGGGCAAAGATGATGATGCACAGGAGAAAGAATAATTCAACGAAGGTTACTGTGAATTAATTTTGCGTATGTTGACTAGCCGTGGAATTCAGGGCATATGTACATTTCGTCCTATTTAGGACTTGTCTACTGAATGTACCTCCATTCTCTGGTGATTGGTGGCGAGACTCCTACCCATCGTTCCAAAATGTCGAAGAGTTACCCACTAAGTCCTCTAACATCTTCAAAGCGTCCGTTATAGCAGCCGAACATTTCGATTCAACCAATCAACGGGAAATTCAAAATTGACTTAAAAAACTAAATGATGTCACTGAATATTTTCCATAATTTATCTGCATGCGTTAACAGCGAGTTAATGCATCAGTTCCCTTGTAAATAATTTTAATTCATTTCATCAAAAGCCTGGAAACAGAGATTCTTACTACCCCTAATAATACTATCTACTATCTGCGTCGGTGGCACAGTGGTTAAGACTCTCGCCGACCATGCACATGGTCCGGGGTTCGATCCCCTGCCGGCGCACACCCGATATGTATAGTCGGCCTGTAAATTTTGGCTACCGATATCCATGCTGAAAATTCCATACTTGTACTGAAAATACGGTGTGGAATCAAGCTGTAATCAAAATAAAATAACGTACGTCTTCCTATGTATGGATGGAACCAAAAGCCAAATAAATTCATGTTTGGTTCTGACCAATATAAAAATTCATTTTCATACTGGAAGTATTACTTCATTGGACTCATAATTTAAACAGCAAGTGATTTAGTGTCCTAATGCTTTTAAAATCACTTTCCTGCATTGTACACGAGTAATACTGAACCTCTTATACGGTTCGTACACACTTCAGTAGACTGTAGGCTGCACAATCTCGAAGAATTTACTCTCCTTTAGACACCCGAAGTTCTGTTAAGTAAAATACACCGTCATTATTAAACTAAGACAGTTAAGACAATTGCTGGATACGTATTTCGTTCTATTTAGGACTCGTCATCAGCTGGATGCACCTGCATTCCCCAGTGAGTGATGGTGTTCCCACCGAACCCAGTAATGCCCATAGTTTCGAACGCCAAAGCAGGTACACCCAGTGATGAGTCTCGAACAGGACGAAGTGCGCATTCTGAATTCCAGTCCTAGTTACCATCCACCTGTTGACTTCAAGTTACATGACTGATCTGCACAAGGAGCCGACAGACATGTCAGCCTGAGACTGAGTACTTTGGGTCCAATCAATCTATGGAAAAATCTAAAATTGAATTAAGTAAGACAGTTAATATATATATATATATATATATATATATATATATATATATATATATATATATTCTAATCTTATCCAGTTTAATGTGTAAAAATATTTTGTTGTTGTTGTTGTTGCATTATCTATTGATTTATTAACTATTTTTTTTGTCTTCTTGTACATATATTCAGGATTGTAAAGAAGATCAACAAATGAACAATAAACTTTTAGATCCAAATCGCATGTTAATAGAAAAGGTAAGTTGAAGTAGTTCAATCTCTTGACTGTGATGTGGCTACTTTCTTGTCATATATATATATATATTGTATGGAGGATTTCATCATGAGCTGACATCAGTTAGAGAACCACTGGAAAACCTGGGAGTACTGGATAGCTGTTTCGTCTTAGTTTGAGACTCTTCAGCAGTACGCGCCCACCGGGATTCGAACCCAGGACCTTCTGGTTACAAGGCGAGCTCGTAGACAAAACTAGGACGAAACAGCTGTCCAGTACTCCCAGGTTTTCCAGTGGTTCTCTAACTGATGTCAGCTCATGATGAAATCCTCCATACAATTAAACAAAATCCTTACCAAACCAATACTTGAAAAAATATATATGCAGTAAATCACGTGTTTGTCCTACATCGCGATGATTACAATCCGATATGAGGTATCTCACGTGCAGATTTGACTTTGTCGTATGTTAAGATGTTAGTAGTTTATTCTGTTCACAGTCGGTCTTTTTAAAATAATAATAATCATAAAGTTTCATTTCCGAATAATTTTCAAGAGTTGATTTGTAAGAATTAAGTTTGTTTTTACGAGTTTGACCACAAATTGATATCAGTTAGAGAACCATTGAAAATTAATCTGATGCTCGCTAGTGACTTACTACAGGACGGAGTTTCTTAGAGTTCTAGTGAGGAGTCGTAACCAGTCAAGTGTGTGAGGATGGATTTCCCATCGATGATCATTGGTTGGTGGTCGCGCTAAATCATGAATTGGTAGAAGTTAGAATTCATGGACTGGCCACTGAATCAGGTCCCAGTGGCTGAATGGTATACGAGGTAGCTTGCTTTGTAACCGGAGGGTCCTGGGTTCGAACCCTGGCTGTGGGTGCGTACTGACGATGATTCCTAAACTAGGATAAAACAGCTGTCCAGTATTCCCTGTGGCTGGTTTTCAGTGGTTCTCCGACTGACAACAATCCGTGGTCAAACTCGTAAAAACAACACTTTAATCCTCACAAACCAACTCTTGAAAACAAATCTGTATAGTTTTCATTCATTTTCTTCAAGAATTGTACAGCGTTTATCTGGAAGCGAATTAAATATGCGCGCGAATTCATGTAGTGATCATTGGTCGTAAAATATCAGTGTACTCCATTTTGTTGTTTGTGATGATTTATACTAGTGTTCTACATTAACTACGTCATATCTGTGTGATTATCATTCACTTCATGATTTAATGAACACATGAGTTCATCTCTCTTAAAGTGTAGGTGTTAAGTAGATGAACAAGCAGTTGCTTTGATGGATAGATGACTCCAGTGTCTCAAACACTCGATTTTGACTTGGTGGGTCTTGAGTTCGAATCCTACTTCACCTACTTCAGTCTATGTAGGTGGATAGTGTCGTTAGACTTCCACCAATCAACATGTCTGACTCATAATCCTGAACATGCAAAGTCTCCATCGTATCTGAGATATAGTAACATAAGTCCTGGCAATGCCGCGACATCTTAGATATGCACACTGAAGTGAGAGTACTAAAAGTTATACAGTAAAGTGAAGTCAATTGGTAAATGGTGACTAACAATGAAATCCAGGATGCGCATTTCCTCCTATTTGGGACCCGTCACTAAACGTACTTGCATTCCCCAGTGAGTGATGGTGCTCGTACCGAGGCTCTAACCCAGTGCCCATAGTTTCAAACGCCAAAGCGTTACCTACTTGGGCCACGAGACCAAACACTTCGGTCCAATCAATCAACGGGAAAACCTGAATTGAATTAAATAATTAATAAAACCCGTTAAACAAGAGGTGACTTTCGTGGCCCAAGTGGTCTAATGAATAACGCTTTGGCGTTTGAAAATATGGGCATTACTGAGTTCCAGCTTCTGTGGGAACATCATTACTCACTGGGAAATGCAGGTACATCCGGACGAAGAGTCCCAAATAGGACGAAATGCGCATCCTGGATTCCACTGCTAGTCAACATCCATCAATTGACTTCAAGTTACATGAACAGACATTGTCGAAACATCTGCACAAGGCGCCAACATGTCAACCTGAGACCGAGTACTTTGGCTCCGATCAATCGACAGGAAAATCTAAATTGAATTAAAGTGAATAGTAGAGGTTCGTAGAACACCAGAAGACACAGGAAGGGAAGAAAAAATTTCAATTAAGATGAAGATAAGGTGTAAGTACATCTACTAACACTTTCCAGTAGTCATTGATCCGAGTTTTCAGATGGACTCTTTCCAAGTAACCTGCACTCGTGTAAAGTGTTCACAACAAGGATATTTATCACCTCAGTGATTAGTACTACATCTTGGTCTGAGTATCGAATACTTTCCTCCAGTCCAATCATACCTGTACCAAAATAGATTGTTGAGGTAGGCTACAGATGTTACCAAAAGTTGTCATATTTATGTTGTCGTGTGACATTATACACCAAGCGCTCCAGTGGAACTCGAACGGCAAATGATGGGTTGGGCATCCCAGGGTGACAGAGGAGTAAAAGCTTTCAGACAGTCATAGAGTTAATTGGTGGATGGCGACTAGCAGTGGAATCCAGGATGTGCATTTCGTCCTATTTGGGACTCGTCATATGGATGTACCTGTATTTCCCAGTGAGTGATGATGTTCCCACCGAGGCTCGAACCCAGTGCCCGTAGTTTCAAATGCCAAAGCGTTATCCACTAGACCACTTGGGCCACGAGAGCCACCTCTTGTGCAACATCATCACTCACTGGGGAATGCAGGTACATCCATATGACGAGTCCCAAATAGGACGAAGTGCGCATCCTGGATTCCACTTCTAGTCACCATCCACCAATTCAATTCTAATTAAATGTCCAGGCATCGTCGAAGCATCTGCACAAGGAGCCGACATGTCAACCTGAGACCGAGCACTTCGGTCCAATCAATCGACGGGAAAATCTAAAAGTCAATTAAAGTCATAGAGTTAGTTAAAAGTGCTGGTAACAAACCGAGTGCAGTGGAAATGTGCGGCTGAAACCCTATGTTCCACTCGGGATGCAAGGGATGAATAATTATCATTGATGATATTGACGCGTACCTCGACGCGTTAAGTGATAATATAAGGAGAAAATGATACTTGATCGGTTTAAACAATACCACACTGGTGAAAAATTTCAAGAAATTATTTACATTTTAGGATTCATTGCATATAACCTCATTAACTGATTAACCATTAGTTTGTTATGACTAGAGAATAACTCAATAACCCTTTCATCATTGTGTAAATAAACTTTTCGATCGATTTTTTGTGTGAATTTGTTTAACATCTTGTGATTATAATGATTGTGCTTTTTTATGCTTTGACTGGAATGAATGGATTGTGAAAAGTTTACTTTAAGGCTTAGCTGTATACTTAAACTCAGGAAAAACATGGTAATCATCTCACAGCTTGATCAAGAATACAGACATGCTACAAGCTTCCTTGTTAGCTAAACATTTCCAGGTGCTTTTGATGCTGCAACTTTTGGGGTAATAAGTAATTCCTGCTTAACTAGTATGTTTCGGAATTGAGACCTTTCCAATGCATTGGAGCTGTGGCTTACCAATTTAGGAGTCCGACTTCTAACTACAGAGTTTTGGGGGTTTGAAACCTTATCCACCAACTCCTGGTGAGTTTGAGCAACCTGATAGTAAGTATCATTAGCCTTCTCGCCATAAGTATGGCTCATTTTCAATTGTAAGGGAATGCAAATGTCTGTCGGGTAACATTTCCAGTGACATTCAGCCATCTGAATGAAGCCAAATTGCTCATCTCATGTTACTGTTTAACATAAGAAAGAAAAGAAACATTTAATTGCTTATTCTGTAGAACGAAAGATATTCATCGAAGGGCACTTTCACGACCTATTCGTGACTGGATTATTACCGTACTCTTTTACTTCTCTCTTTGAGCATGAAATTCAAGTCAGGTTTCATCACAAATTCGACTTAGTCCGAAAGACACAAAGAAAAGCTAGGGAGCATTGGATGTCTGTCTCGTGGCTATATGCGGACTCGCATCAGATATTTGCGACTTGTAGTTTCGACTAGGTCTCGTATGTGAATCGGTATCCACCGCAGCTGTTGTGTTATGTTGGAGTTATATATCCTGAATCATTATGTTGCAGCTTATTCGATGAAAAGCGACGTGGTTGTCTTTAAGGGTGGCTATTTTAGGTTTGCTTCCGCATATGTACTGTGGAGAAGTTGTAGATAAAATCGGAGTAGATGTTGAGCCGTCCACCGTCTACGATTATCTTCTAATTCACGTTGATGTTCGGACTCAGTTACCCGAAAAAGATCTTTCATGTAGTAAGCTAAAAGCCATGAAGGCTAATGGCACACTACCCAATTGGACCAGGACTCGAACTTGTGGGCAATTGGCTGAAAGTTGAGCTCTTAAGCCAATGAGTTACATCTCCACATACTAAACTATCTCATAGAAAATGAAGCTATTTAAAATCATAGTTGTATCCAAGTTCCACTTTTCATCGTATCAGTTGTTCTAGTAAAAATGGTTACAATTTCTCCAATTTTCGTTTCTGACAATCAGTTTGTGTACACCATCGTTATTTTTCTTTTTCTTAGTAACTATCAATTAAAAATACTGTCTTCTCTTCTTTTTATTTCTCTCCATGTAAACAGCTGTTGACACTTCTAAAATTACCATGTTCACAACCTCTCGTACCTCCTGAACCGTCATATGTGAATATGTCAAATTCTGTACAAAATGGTGATACAGACCAATCGTTGACTGAGACTACTGACATTTCAACTATGTGTAAGTGTAATACGATACGATACTATAAGTTGTTAATTTTCCCCCATTAATTTGAATACAAACTTTGTCATAGAAAGTAGACCAGACGTGTACGCCACAAAAAATAACTGAACTATAATATGAAAACTGGTAAACTTAACGACCAAATATAATTCAAAGAAACATTTACTACGTCATAGAAATTCTGGTGGCATCAGAAGCAGGCTAACTGATTCTGAGCCATTTCAGTCAGCTCAACGAGTCGAATAATATCTTGGAGAGTTCATCCGGATATTTGTAATCTGCAGTACAGATAATAACCCAAATCAAGTGTCTTTCATTCAGTAACCTCATGGGATGCATTAATCACATCTCTACCCTTTTCTAAACAGTTTTGAGGCTAGGAAACAGTCAATGGTATTGTGAAGACCTTGGGATGGTGACATTGGGAACATATAGTCCACAAATATGAATCACCTATTGAGCAATGCTCCCCCCTCACCCGCTGTGGTACAAACATTATGCCATCTGACGTCAGAAATACATCAACTGGTCAGTAGATTCAAGTTCTCCTACTGGGAGACAGGTGATAGTCGAAGAGGCAACTGAGTTCCACTTGTTACTACTATTGTTATTGTGCATGTCTCGTTTGTGAGTTGGGATCAAAATCTACCATGTGTTATGTAGGTAAATTATCTTCACAATTGCCTGAACCGAGTATTATGAAGTCATCAGAACGAAGAACTGTATTCTTCATGCAAAATGGAAAAAAACTTCCGTAGCGTTCGCTGTGTGTGCTTCACATCTGCAACGTTCATTCAATACATCATCAGAATTAATGTTCAGGTTGTTTGCCAGTTACGAAAGACACTCGATGATCATATCCTCCATCATTCGTGGTTATCAAGTTCTCTAGATTACTGTGTATATAGTATTCTTACAAGGTATTACTGGAATGAAAGCTGTAATGAATTTAGAAAACCCCATGCTACCATATAACACTACATAATTTTGATTGGACACTAGTCAGTAACTAGTGTAATGTGTCTAGTCCTTTGTTTGCTGCAGACTGAATTCTATCAGTCCAGTTTACAATATAGCCAGCATGCTAGGTGGCTCGCCATCACGGTGCACTGTGAATTGAATTGTTGGTATTAGATGGTTTGGGGTAATCGACAGGAAGCCCAACCCGACCTAGGTTTCGTGCTAGTTGGTGGCATTCACCAGTCAGCAAGGCGTATCTGAAACCTTGAAGGAACTCATTTCCCTTCTGAGATTCGAACCCGCGCCACCCAGTGCTGCAGTCAAAGGACTAGACATGCTACACTAGTTACTAATTAGTGTCCAATCAAAAGTATCCAATACAGTCCTAAAGGAGGTTAATCGCGAGTCTGAATAGCCGCTCAGTGGTAACGTCTCTGACTGCAGCAATGGGTGACTCGGATTCGAATCCCAGGTGGGACATGAGTTCCTTCAAGGTTGCAGATATGCCTTGCTGACTGACTGGTGAGTGCCAACTAGCACGAAACCTTGGTCAGATTTGGCTTCCTGTCGATTGCCTCCAACTATCTATTACTACATAATTTCTTTGTTAACTGCTCTGTCTGTCTGTTTGTTTTCAACATAGAACTTTGCACCGATATGAGACCAAAGGAATAGTAATAACGAAGAGCAATATAGTTTCATTAGGTATTATAAGTTACAAGGAGTGGATGCATCTTCGCCAGCTATTGAGAACGATGGCTCTGAGCCATATCACCAACTGTCTCCAGCCTTCATTGCTTTTTACCGTCGCAAATGTACTGCACTAGGTGCGCTTTTGATGAATAAATTATCAACTGTTAGTTCACAGGGACTTGACTGGCTTCAAGTTTGATCTCCAGTTGACATCAGTTAAAGAATCAGTAAAATCCATCAGGGAGTACTGGACAACCGTTTCGCCTCAGTGTGAAACTCCTCATCAGTACGCACCCACCAACGGAGTTCAAATCTGGGACATTCTGGTTACGAGGCGGTCTGGTGCAACCATTCAGCCATTGGGACCCGATTCAATGACCAGTCTATGTTTTATAACTTCTAATAAGTCGTAATTTTAGCATGACAAAGGCGCATCAAAGTAGCTGAGTGATCTAAAAGATTTTTTTGTAACTGAAATGTCCTGGGTCCGAGCCCTAATGGATGGGTGGCTGGGTGGGTCCCATCTATGTCCAGTATTCCCTGTTTTTTCAATGGTTTTCCGACTGATGTCAACTCGTGTTCAATTCTGTAATACAATTATTATCAAATCTTGGTCTCTTATAGCGTCTATCATTCTTCATTGAAACTCACTCCCCTTTTTGATTGCATCAGTCTACAGACTTCAAAGATATGTACAAGTTCATTGTTCCATTGTATATATATATATATATATATATATAATTTTTATGTTACCTGATCTTCTTTCATTGCTTATCGTTATTTATAGCTGATCAAGTGGTCATCAAATTTGATGAGTAACACCTTTACGAAATCAATCCACTGATGAATTGAAACGACCTTATAGTGCAGAATGTATTAAAAAATCATCAATTCCTAATTACAATAATGATGATATTATGCTTCTATGCAATGAAAAAGTAAGTGAATTTATATAATATTCAATAGAAGATAATTTAGGCATTAATTTAAATCACTGTCAAGCTGTTGCTGACAAAGATATGTATATCTATACAAATTCATTTTGTGATATGTATATTATTGTTGTAATCATTATTCCCGTTGATTCCCTTTTTTGGTGGAACACTGGGTTTCAGCAGCACACCTCAGCTCTTAGCTCTGTTCTTCGCTGACTCCACCATTGGTCATAAGCTTTCATTGCCTCCTTACACGATCTCCTCTATGTCACTGTCGGATGGCCATCTGATCTTTTCCCATTCCGGTTCCACTAGAACAATGGCCTGGTACGTGACATCATTCAATGTGTTCTCTAATCCACCTTCATTTCTTTAGGCATGCATTTGTTAAGCAATAGGTTATTGGTTGGTTCGTTACCCAGTAGAGAGAGGTCTCTGTTGCTCACCCTTTCTTGCTATCTGATCTGTGTGTAGTAGATTACATTGTCCTTGTCAATATTTTGTTTCACAACGCGTAGGCGAAATATTTATACAAGTGTGTTCTGTTTGTTTTGAAATTCTTCTCCCAAAAGCAGCGATAAGTTGTTTTAAAAGACCATTTTTACGAGGAGGTTAGTAGCGTTGAGTTTCGTATGCACTGTTATATCAATGGCTTCCTATTTTGAGCCGTTTTAAAATATTGTTCAGACTAAAAGCCGTTTCGTTCTTTATTGTGCCTCTTTTCTACTGTTGTTAAGTGGTCTAATTAACTTACGCTTACTTAGAGATGTATCTTTTAAGAAGTTTCGTTATCTTTTTGTAAATTGTTCATTGCTTTTCTTCATTATTTTATTATAATTTTTTAAAATTTTATTCCTTTACGTTCCCAGTGGTGGGACATAGGGCTTCAAGCTACAGGCTTGAAGTTTCGGTAGCAGTGGTGTTTATTCTTACGCGATGGGGTTGCTAGGCTCATACCCAACATTACCTCTGTACCAGTCTTATTATTGGCTCTGTGAGGTAAAGGAGTGCCTCGGTGGCCGGGGATCGAACCCTTAACCGCATGAGGCGTGGTTGGCGAGCACTCTACCGCTGTGCCACCGACACCTGCTTCTCTTCATATTCTCTTGTTAAATTATTTTGTATGCTACATTAATCAAAACCCATGCTGTTGCACTAAGATCTTTTTCAAAAAGACTTCTAAACCAAACGAAATTTGTAAATCACACAGGAATATATAATGAATTTTTGTCTCGAACTGTGCAATTTGTAAATGGCAAATTCGCTTTTGTTTATCACCCGAATATATCATGTAACGAAGAGTTCTGGTAATTTGAACCGGTTCAGCTCTGTAAAGCTGAACTATTCATTGTGTACACTGGCGATGAGCTCGTTTGTGAACGGGCGAAGTGGCCTTAAAGTGTTTAGATCATTGATGAGCACCATTGTTTGACTTGAGGGGTTTCCGACTGCTTATTATCAATCAGTAGTATATGTTGTCGTGTTATATCACTCACTTGTCTTTTGTTTGCATCTTCTCTTGATATTTTTATTATACTACTTTGCATGCTGCAATCATTATAGCCCGTGCCTGTACTAAGTTTATTTCTAAAAATATACTCTAAGACTGAAGTTCGAGATATCTGGGTGAAACTGGACTTTTAGCTTCCTTTTTGTTTCATTTGAACTTTATGCAACTCCTATAGTAATTTCGATGGATGGCGACTAGCAGCGAAATCTAGGATACGCATTTAGTCCTATTTGGTATCCATCGGTAGCTGGATGCCATCATTCCCAGTGAGAGATTGATGTTTCCACCGAGACTGAAGACAAGTACCCATCGTCTCAAATACCAAAGCGTTTGGTCGAACTCCTTGGCCTCTCACTGGGAATGTTATGCGCATCCAGCTGACTAGCCCCAAACAGAATGAAATATGTACCCTGGGTCCCAATGCTAGTCACTGTCCACCAGAATTACTTCAAGTTGGTTGTTAGACATTGTCGAAGTGTCCGTACCAAGGGCCTAAATATCAACGGGGAAATCAAAACCTAATTAAAAACAAAAAGTTTATGAGTCATCGTTGATTGGACATTTTGGAAATTGTTTATTTTGGCGTCCAGTTTAGCAATAGTGGCTGTCAACTCCTAGGATAAGTGTCTTGTTGGAATGTTACTCAACCAACACGTACAGTTGTCAATGAACCACGCCTATTGTTGTTTGGTAGTCAGTGATGCTAACTGCCTGGCTGCCGAAACCTTGGTAGTTGGAGCGGGGTGCCAACCCGAGACTCACTGGATGGATCCTTTTAATTACAGGACATGAAAAGATTAGCTGTCTTTGATCAAAGGTGCCTGCGTTCTATCTCCCGTGTGAAGTGGTATAATACGGTGAGCAATATTGAAGTTAGACGTCGAGTGATAGGTAAGGAGGGGAATCAATAGACCAGGTTGTGTAGCTACATCGATTGAGATGGTTAGGACATGTGTTACGTACACCTAGTCATCATCAGTCTTCATCAGTCAATGAAATCCAGAACAGTTAGTTTAAGCCAAGTAGGAAGGTGTAGACTTCCTGGTTGGGGTCCTCTGGACAGTAAACACCAATGACTGGAGACAATTTGTGATATAGCTGAAAATCGTTCTCAATGGCTGGCGCAGATGCATCCACTCCTTGTGACTCATGATTTCCAATGAAACTGTTTTGTTCTTCGTTATTACTATTCCTTTGTCTCACACCTCCGTTTGCTGTCTCTATTTTGCATTTCTTCTACTTTTTTCTCTTGCTTTGTGTGTTACATGGATTGTGGCAACCTGAACTGCTGCACATCGGTGCAAAGTTCTATGTCGAAAACAGGCAGGACATAGCCTCATTGTTGTTGTCGTTGGCTGTTCTTAATTCAATATCAAATGTAGCTTGTTTGATCGAAGTACAATTAGAAATGTGTTATACACAAAGTTAGAATTCAAGGGTCATTGAATCCCATCCCAATTGTCTCAATAGTCAGAGAGCTTCCTCTTGTAATCTGGAGGGTGTGTGTGGATGCACACTGATGAAGAGTCGTGGAACAGGACGAAACCGCTGTTTGTCCAGTATTCTATGGGTTTTTTAGTGATATTTCTCCGATTGATGTTTACTCGAGAGAAAAATCTAACGATTGTAATTATACGTAACTATCCGAATTTTATACCAGTTTCCGAATCACCTCTTTCTATCTCAAATATATGTAACAAGGAAATCCTTCATTGCCTGATGTGGAATAGTCACTCAACCACCACCAACATCATATTGGCTAAAATTCGTAATCACTAAATTCGTACAGTTTTGTTACCATCATTTATTTGTTACACATGTGTGTTAGACATATGTTAAGCTAAAAAGATGAATAATCATTATTGCATGCGCTTCCCCCACCTGAGGGATCTAATTCGACAAATAATCTTTTTACTTAAAGCATGCCAATGGGAGAAAAAGTAACATTTGCGTCTAGGTTAACTTGTTCCCTTCTCTGCTGATAATGCTATGCCCATATAACATATTTGTGTCTAGACTACGGTAATAATGCCTCTGAAGTAATGTTATTCATTTCTGTCTATTGGGGATGACCTTTTTTCCCAACTTCCTCTGGTGATGATGATTAGTCATGGTTTTATGCCTTAGTTGTCTGTCTGATATTATTGAAGACCGCACTAAAAGGTAATTTAGAATGTCTACAATAATAATAATTACAGAGAGAGAGAGTTATAGAGAAAAGCTATCGCTTGCAGTATCTCTTATGAAAACGTCATTTCTCTACAGTAAACTTACTCTGTTCGATGTGAGTATTTCTGTTCAAATTAGCCAGAAGGGAAATATGAAATCTGGACTCCATTGTGTGCAAGCTGTGGGCTTATTTGGTATACATCAAATGCCATTTCTGTAATCACACTATGTGCTAATATTAGACTGGAATATCTTTTTAAGATAGTCTTATCATTGGAGGCTTAATGGACCTGGAACATTACAATGAGTAAATTCATTTGAGCGGTTGTGAACGATTTTGAGTGCCGTATCAGCAACAGTCTTAAGTTATTGGATCTTGACGTCTTGTAGGCATCAGACAGTGTACATCTACCTCATACACGGCTCAAATTAACAGAGGACTGATGCAAAGTTTTGATTTGACCAACGTTGACTCTTTTCTCATCTAATTCTATGTTCTGGAGGGCTTCGCGTGCTTTTGGAAGTGTGTGGACGGTTGTCACTTCCCGGCTGCCCACACCGTGGAAGTTGATTTATTCTTTGAGTACCTGAAACAGAAGGAGAATTAGTGCTGCGTTATTGCAGAGCCCAGGGGACGGTCACACACGGCCTATCTGAACTGGCTTTTTGTTTTGATTCCATATTAGATTGCTATCAGTTTCGGACCACCGTAGGGTAAGTCGGGATGTACAATTTTTGGGTTCGACCTTTTCTAACCCTCTCTCTCCAGAGTGGAGAGACAGCATTGTTGGCATGTTGGTCATCTGAGCGAAACACCTCTTTGCTGTTACATCCTTGTTCCCCAGGAGTACAACTTCGTCCACAAACCCCCAACATAATGTAAAAAAATTCGTACACAATACCGGTGACTGCTTTTAGTTGAATCGCTATCCTAACAGTGTTCTTGGCATGGTAGGACCCGCAGGAACATTGGTTGCAGCCAGTGTAGCTTGTTGGGTCATTGCGATATGCAAGTTGGATCACCACGTCAAGGTAGCAGCTATCGGTCTGTGAAGTGTGGCAACTCGAACTGCTGCAAATCGGTGCAAAGGTCTACGTTGAAACCGGTCAGTCAGTAATCCTATGTTAGTCAGAGAAAATTTCTCTACGAAGAAGGTGACAGCTTAGTATGTGTAAAATAATTGACTGACTGAGTTACAATATAGAACTATGCGCAGAAGTTCACCTATCCAAGTTGCCACACAAAGAGAGAAAAGAGATTTAAAAGAAGTACAATGAACAGAAATCTATGGGAGAAAGAATAATAACATGAGGGTTAAATAGATCTGGGCGATCGCAAAGAGAGTCTATGCATCTATACTACTGAAATCAGTTTTCAACCATATCACCAATAGTCTCAAGCCATTTGATTCTTAACATCCCGATGACGCAAATCAAGCAATCGACACCTCCCTACGCGGCTGAAACCAACTGTCAAAGAATTCATGGGATGATGCTAGGTGTTAGTGTAACCACCCAATTTAATCCTGTGTTTACCAACAACATCGCATTTCTAGGATGGCGTTGGATTAGAATAGAGCTATGCGTGTCTTAGCCATCTCAATCGATACACAATTTCACAACCTCATCGATTGACTTTCCTACTGTTTACCCATTTGTTGTTCATGCTATTTACAAAGGATGACAATCATTCACTATATGTAACACCACCCTGAAAGCGTGGAGAAATTTGTTGATCTCATTGGAAATCTTATCGTGTCGTTTTTCACAATTTAAATGATCATAGTGTTATTTATTTTATTTATTTAGGTAGAATTTTCGCAGAATCATATCTTAACATCTTTATTTTCTTATCATCATGTGGAAAAAAGCATTGTTGTTATGTGAATCATGCTTTTTCTAACTAAAGGGAACTGCTTTTCTGTTGTGTGTGTGTGTGTGTAGAGTCGTGTTAGAAAACCAGCCATAAGATGTCTGAAAGTATAATAGTGAAGTAGGTATGCTTAAAAAAATCTCAAGTAGTCTAATACCCTCTACTGTTAAATACATTTAAGCGGTATGAAATCCTACAATAAATAAATAGCTGCCCTCAACAGGATTAGACAATCTAGCACAGTCTGCTTTCATCCTGCGTCCCCCCTCCCACACTCACACTCACTTCAGCTATAGTGTTCGAGTGTGTGTGAGAGAGAGAGAGGAAGAGAGTTAACATTTATAAAATTATATTTGTAAAATTTCAGCGAAATTGAAATGATTAATTCCAACGTTTCCTACATTCGGCAATCTGGTCCGAACTTCTTCAGGGAAATTAATCGAAATTAACACAATAGAGGTTTATATATAAAAGGAACATCTCTTGTTTTTGAAACTTTGTCCAATCATGAGCCATGAAACAGACATGAACATGTATAATAAACAAAATTGTATGAACTGTGATCAAAATTTGACCAGTGAGGTCCAATTAGATGTCACGTGTGTGGATGGATGTCCCACCAACGACAATGGTTGGGGTCGCGCTAAATCACGAATTGGTAGAAGTTAGAATTCATGAGTCATTGAATCGGGTCCCAGTGGCTGAATGGTATACGAGGTAGCTTGCTTTGTAACCGGAAGGTCCTGGGTTCGAACCTTGGCTGTGGGTGCGTACTGACGATGATTCCCAAACTAGGATGAAACAGCAGCTGTCCAGTACTCCCTGGTTTTCAATGGTTCTCTAACTGGTATCAGTCCGTGATCAACTCGTAAAAAATATAATTTTATAAATGTTTACTTCTCACTCGGCGCTCAATTATTTTGCAACTATCCGGTCAAATCTTGATCACAGTGCATAGAAAGAGAGTTAGATAGTTGAGGGACTGATTATAAAGCGACTCATTTCATGCATTCTTATATTGAGTTTTTCTATTATTTTCGTTGCTATAGGTAAATACTAAGTCTAAGAAACGTAGAAAAACGCTACAACACCAGCAGCAGCAACAACAACAACAACAATCGTCAATATTTCAGTCGAATGAGAATAACAGTATTTCCCTCACTGATACAGATGATGTGTACATTTCAGTTAAATCTGAACCAGATTCTGAACTATCAGAAGGTGCGTTTTGATTATTCATTTATTTATTTGTTCATTTACTTAAATACTTTTTCTCATTAAACTGTTAGTCAATCATCTTGAGAAGTATTCAACGTGAGAAAAACACTTGAGTTTATCACTGTGAGACGTAGTGTAACGGTAGAAGACGACGAGAGATTTAGTAAAGGAATGTTTATTTGGAATTTGGTATCTCTATACACAGCTGAATTATGTACACCCTTATCGTCAAATCACCACTACTGGCACAGATCTTCTGTATTGTGCTACTTCTGGCCTTCCTTCACATATTGTGTTTCATTGTCTTCCTTTCACGTCGTCTTCTATGTATCTCTGCGACGTTGTATCATTTACCTTCTCTGACATCAAATCTATCTCCGTGCTGTTTGATGTTTTTATGCAGGTGAACATCTCTTTATTTACTACTGATAAATCTTATCAGTAGCACACGCCACAGTAGTACTAAAACAGCACAGGTAATCAAAGTGGGAAGAAAGAGATGATGGTAATGTCATCATTATTATTTATTTTATTTTATTTCTCTTTGTTCCGAATGGAACATAATGCTTCAAATTTGAGGTGTAAAGTCTGTCTTTTACGGAGTGAAGAGGATATAGCCTCACGCCCAGCCATCTCTCTTCATACGTGCCTTACTACTGGCTTAGTGAGATTTAGGCGTACATTGACCGGAAATCGGACAGAACCTCGAACCATGTGAGTGTGTATTCATGGATTATTTCAATCCAACAGTGACTGAATCGTGATGTGCGCTTACCTCGTAACTTGAAGGGTTTGTGTTTAATTCTGCTAGGGGTCATGTGTGCGTGTACCGCTGTTAAGCCGTGAAACTAGGACACTACCCCCCCCCCTCGCCAACTGATGTTGGCTTGTGAAGAAATCCATTTTGAAAGTTTCTAGAATATCATGAGACAAACGAAGAAGAAGAAGGAGCAGACAATTCAAGCCAAGTGCCTAGTGCATCCAACATCTACCTGACTGCTATGCAGACAATGGTCTTCCATCACTCGCTGTGAGAGTTCAAAGGCTGTTCCTAATCTGAAGCAAAGCAAAGCAGCAGGATCTGGCGGAATGACTCCAGTGGTTTTAAAGGACGTTGATGATGAACGGATGTATGGGCTAACTAAGATATCAGGTAATTTCTGGTAGTCAGAGGTAGTTCCGTGAGGCTAGTTTAAGTCACTGATTATCCCAGCTCTTAAGAATCAAGACAAGGCTTCCTGTGATAATCATAGAGGGGCGGATAAGCTTAACTAATATGGTGTCTAAAGTCCTCGCTCCAGTAATCATGTGCAGATTAAGTGGTGCTCAGGAAAAACAAACACGAGAAAACTAGACAGCTTAAGTCTAGGAAGAAAGTATATTGTTCATACACTCACTCTTCGACAGGTTCTAGAACATAGTCATATCTACCGGAGTCCAACACTTTTCATATTTTTTTATCCGGAGGTGACATTTGACTCCATCAACCGAGAGGTGCTGTGGCAATGTCTGGCCATGAATGGAGCGTTGAGAAAATACATTGCTTCAATCAAGGTACTCTACTCGAACTCACGCAGCTATATAAGAGCTCATGGGGAGTTGTCATCTGAGATGATAACAACCAATAGTGTCCGTCAAGGATGTCAGTTGTCCCCATTTTTGTTTATCTTCATCATCGATATACTAATGGAATCAGCTCTAACTGACTTTAGTAGCATAGCGATTGACTCATTGCCTGAAGACAATCTTATTGATTTGGAGTATGCTGACACTGATAAAGTGCAGTCATCCGAACACCTTGAGCAGAAATCTTAGTATGTTAGGCATATATGATTCACTCCTGTCAAATAAAAGATGATACTGCACGACTGGAAGGCCACCATCTTCTAGTTTAAAGACGACAGGGAGCGGAGCGTGTTGAACACATCACTTATTTGAAAAGTTACATTAGCCCTAATGGACTGATCGCTGACAAAATCCCTTTTGTGGGCTACCGTGAAGATAGTCGATTAAGAGTGAACGAATATGGCGTATGACATTTTAAGAATTATTATGCATAGGTTTCAAAACCTTTTATTCTCAAGTCTTATTTTACAATTTGAAGTTTAATCACGAATCAGCATCAGTGAGTACTGAACAGCTGCTTCGTCTTTGTCTGGGCTACTTTTGTTGCAATACACTCCCATGACTCCATCCACTGGCGATTGCTCTGTGTGTCACAAATTGGCATAGCTAAATTAGAATCTATGGACCATTGCATTCCGTCCCAGCAACAGCTGAACGGTATGGTGACCTGAAGTTCTTGGGTTCAACCCGTGGCTGTGTGCTGCTGAAGAGTCCCGTACTGGAAAGAAAGAAAGAAACAGTTGTCGGGTATACTCCTTGATTTTCAATGGTGAACATTTACTGAGGCTTGTTGTTACCGTAGATTCCCTTATGTGTTTGTGTATCCACTTGTGACTGAGTATTTCAAGTTCTACGTTAAGATTCAATAATGATGTATTGTCCAGCATTACAAAGTTTTGTGTTTTGTAGAGTAACAGATGTTTAATAATCAAGCATTGTTACTAATTAAGAAACACACACTCTACTTAGCTCCTAAATGTTTTGAGACGAAAATGCTCAGGTGGATGATTTCCAGGTAGTTGCGTTCTCGAAGCAAAGGTTGTCAGGTAGCACAATTGCGTCGTTATTCCTGGGGATTTTAATTAAGTTCACTTTCTATTGAAGTTTGTGCTGAAGAGGTGTTGTCTACAAAGACAGTATGAAAGCACCTCATTGAAAAATCATCCACCTCACAGAATGCAACCATATCAAAAATTTCTTAATAATTTTTTTAAAATTTGTAGATGGATGTGTTAATGTAGTCTTTCTTGACTTTGTTTCTTTTTTTTCTTTTATTTTGTTCAGCCAATTGTTCATTCGCTACACCAGCTCATCCTTCAGCTTGTTCTTCTGGTAAGAAAAAAAATCAACCGAAAAAATTTCGAGACTTCTGTGTTGTAAGTTCTCCGTCTTTTTCATCATACATTCCCCACCCACCACCATCTTGATTTTCATTGGTTCTCTAACTGATGTTGTATCATCATACAATCTATCACATGAACAGTATTTATTAGCTTTGTTTTTTCTCCTCGATTGGTTATATTCATTCTGGTCTCGTAATCTGAATTTCCCAAGTTCATTCCCTGATGAGGTCTTGGGTGGCATTCACCAACTTACGTCATCTCTGGCGTAGACATGATATCCGACTCTCCATCAAAGGACGTGTGCACTGCGCAGAAATCCGCTCCGTTCTCCTCCATGGCTTTGAGTGAGACAGGGACTTTGAAAGTGGAGGATATGATAAGGTTAGCTATCTTTGATCATAGGTGTCTGGGTTATATCTCCTGTGTTAAATGGTATAATACAGTGAGTGGTAGTGATGTTAGGTAAGGAGAGTGAGTCAATCGACTGAGATGGCCAGGACACGCATCGGTCATGCTGAGCCATCGCCTTCCTCGACGAGCAATGTTAGCTGCCACAGGAATAAGTTAGAAAATAGGTAGTGCTGGTCATACTCAAACCTGTCATCAGTCCATAAGGTCTTTGACAAGTTGGTTTGAGTCAGTCACGTGTTGTAGGCTTCCTGGTTGGGATCCTCAGGATGCTAAGAACCTATATTGTAGTCTACAACAGAATTAATCCAGATCTACACAACAACAAAAAGAAACCCATAACTTCCTCTACACGCACACGCACGCATGAATAAAGTCTTTTTGATGCAAAAGCTTTCAATGCTATTTCTTGTTCAACTGAAGTTGTTTTCTTGTCTTGAAATTAGTCTCCCAATCAATCTATCTATCTATCAATTAATGGGTGAATCAATACAACTCTACAATATCTCCGAACATAACAAATATCCTCTGGTTGTTGTTGTTGTGTAGTACTCATTCTCAGGACTAGTGACACAATGTTTATTATCCTTTAAAGAGATTCTGTTTTGCTTCTGTCTTTCTCTCCTCTTATGCAATGACTTTTTTCACTGATTGTGTCACTTAGGTACGCACACACGCGCGCGCAAACCACACTCAAACATTATATCGCCACTGTATTGTGTGTGCGAACATTTTCATCCCCTCATGAGCTTCCCTAGTTCTACCCCTCCCTCCCCCGCCGCCACCACTCCTCCTTTTCTCTCTCTCTCTCTGTCTCTCTGTTCTCCTAAACCTGAAATGACTTACCTCATCTAGTCAGTCAGTTTGCTTTTATCCCTCATTATCGTCTTTCTGTGAGTTTGTTTTGACTTTTTCATGCACATTATTGTTGTTATTATTATCATCATCTATCTTTGTTCTGTTCCAAAAACCGAAACAGGTGAATTATATAACATTTCTCTTTATCCAGCTTTCTTTAGACTTACCAACCCCCCCTTTCCATTACTGGCTCGAGTATTTCCGCCGCCTCACCCCACCCCACCCCCAACCTCGGTGTTTTCGAACACACTCACTATTCACCTCAATTTCTAGTTTATCCACGAGAGAATGAATGACATCGGAAACTGGTGGTTAGTAGTAGTAGTAGTAGTAGCATTAGCAGTCTCTTGACTTTTTTTACTGTCCGTCCAGTTTCTAGAACTACTGCTGTTGTGTACGTGTGTGTGTGGTCGGGTGGGTGATGAGTAGACTGTATTCCACTCGTTATTGTTCGTATCTCACCAACTGCTCATATATAGTTTATTGAATCACATTTCTACCTACTCGCTGTCTCTCTCACACAACCACACACGGGAGAAACCTTGTTGTTGTTGTTGTTGTACGAGTTCGTTTATTTTCTCCTTTTCCATTTGCTCCTGCTTTCCTGTATTGTATATTCTCAGTTGTGCTTGTTTTTTTCTCCGATAGCTAGAACGAATAATAAACCTTGTTAGGAGACAATTATCGGTTGGTAGAAGAAGAAGAAGAAGGAGAAGGAAACACTGGAGAGGAAAAATAATAATAATACAAAACAAAATTTATTTTTGTTAGATGAATAAGTTTCATTCATTTAATCATCTCTTTTTCCTCTACTTTGCTTTACCTTGCATTCTTCATCATTCTGGTAATTTCTTTGTAATTCATTTCAGTTGAGATTTTGATGTCTTTCCCACTTTTATTTCTCTTTCTATCTTGTTTCGAGGTCAAAAATGTTGAATAACCACATTGATAATAGTAGTTAGTGGTGAAGTGTCTGCTTTTTTGCTTCTGAATGTGAATGAAGCTCAAATCAATCAATCTATCTTCTTTTTCTTCTGTTAAATATCGTTTTATTCTAGATTGGAATCATTTTTGTAGGTTTTACGACTTTTGTAGACTTTTCGCGTCGGTGGCATAGCGGTTAGGACGCTCGCCGACCATGCATATGGTCTGGGTTTCGATCCCCGGCCGGCGCACTTCTTTACCTCACTGAGTCAGAAATAAAGCTGGTGAAGAGGAAAGGCCGGTCATGAGGCTAGAAACTCCATCTTGTAAAAATAAACACTGCTACAGAAACTTCAAGACTTCAGCTTGAAGCCCTATGTTCCACTGGGGAACGTGAAGGAATAAAAAAAGGTTTTACGACTCTAAGATAGTTTGACTCACTGTCATGAGTTCATATTTCTTTATGGGGAGTTTTGGATATCAGGTTTGATCACTAGATGACATCAGTTAGATAACCATTGGAAAACCCGGGAGTCTTGGACAGCTATTTCGTCCTTTTTACGACTCTTCATCAGTATGCACCCAGCATCTTCAGGTTAAAAGACGACAACGTAGACAATTCAGCCACTGGAATCCGATCCAATGGCCAATTCCCGATATGTATAACGCAATCAGTATCTCAGTGAAATTATCACTTCTCAACGAAAGTACAGTTGGTATATATATATATATATATATATATATATATATATGTGGTATTTTCCAGGGTGTAGTTAAAAGGTTCACTCATCTTTTCTTGTCTCGTTTCTACATGGAAGGCTAGTTTCATTCTCCTGTTACTGATTATCACTTTTCAACATGACTTTTTTTTCTCTATTCGTGTACAGAGAAGAGTAGCATGGCGTCATCACTTTACTGATGCACCACTGTAATTTGGAGAACACTTTTATTATCTTTTCATCTGACGTAGTTTCATTGAGGAGTTGGAAAGACCATCGTTTTCCTTTCATTGTTGAGGAATATCAACAAATACGAATTTGATGTTGTCATCCTTTTTTGACATTCAACATCCAGAGTTTCCTACAGATTAGCTTTAACTACTATTATTTTTCGTCCCTTGGCTTCTGAGCAGCCCATTTCCATTTCATTGTGTTCTTTATCGCGTCATTTCCAGCCGACTCCATGACTGCACATAAGGTGTCATCTCCTCCATGTCACTCCTCCTCAGACACCTATCTATACTTTCACCTCCCATCAGTGTTTTTTTAACATTTTTAACTTGATTACTTCATTCAATGAGTTGATCAATAAAAGTTGGAGTGACCACTTAACGATTGCAATAGTCTGAAAGAGATTGATTTTTTTTAAAGTTTGCACTCCTTGCTTACTTTCTCTTCTTACTACCTGGATGAAACGATAGGAACTGGTAGGTTTCGACTTCCAATTAACCTTTTTCATTGTCACAGTTAGTCAAGGTAACTAGAATTAAAAGAAGAAGCCTGTATCTTTGCAAGATTTTAAAAAAACAAGCCGTCTCCGTGTTATTTATTGACCAGGAATCCCCACGAATGAGTTTGAGAGGCACTGTCTCCTGATCAACCAGATATCACCACTGTCACTTCGATAACCGAGATCCCTGTCCCCACTTGTCATTGTTGTTGCAGTGACGAAACTCCTTGTGTAACCAGGCGCATTAGCTATCTCGTAGTGGATTGGAAAAAGAGAAGAAATGGCCACAGTAAATTTTGAGGGTGGTCTGTCGGAAGAATACACCCTCTTTCGTTATATACTTGTTCTGTTTTTCCAAGTAAGTTAACCGATGAATGAATGCATATGACATAATTTTTCCTTTTCTCTTTTTTTTGTCTTACCACCACCTTGTAGAAACGTCGTAAACATCAGCATTGAAAATCAACAATCACCGCAATTTACCACGCAACTGTTCTGTATATCTCTATATCATGTACAAATGTGTATATGAAAAATGTTTATCTAATGATGATTATATAATGGTCCAATGAAAATACTATATTATAATTATTTAGTATTTTCTTAATATAGCCAATAAAGAATTCTGTTTCTGAATTTCATTACTGTTCCGTCTTTGTTTTTCATTGTACAATCATTATAATCTGCAGGAGGTGGGGGTGGGGAGTAGATGTGACTAGCACTACACTTAGCTTAGTCGTTTAACCTTCTGATGAATGCGTTTCGGTTACAGATCTCCCCACCTCCACCCTTGTTTGTGGAACTAAATGTGTAATAGCATAGATCCCTTTACAAGCAACAAATTTTATTGTCTAGCTTATTGTTCACTAACAAAATAGACCTAGTCTGATCTGGGATTTTTTCCTCATAACTCGTGCAGAATTATTCTGAAACCGATCGTAACACGATCTTAAACAAAGTAAAAAAAAGGAACACATGATGGTGGGGGTTAAATATTAGCATCTACTGGGAACCGACATATTCTAATGAATACTTAAACGTGAGTTCATCCCACCCGGATTTAACAAAGGTAGGTTTAATTAAATCCGGCCAGGAGCCTAACTAGTAAGTCAGAGGATTTTGGCAAAGTTAAACTTTAAGCACCACTAACTACCAATCAGCGAATGACCTCGATAGCACTGATCACGTGAAGGAGGCATTTTTGTGTATGGAATACATATATTTATGAAATAATGCATAAAAACTGGATAAAAGTGTTACAAAAAATACCTTCCTCTCACATGTGATAAAAATAGCTCTCAGTCTTTGGCTGGTGTATCAACAGAGTGTAATTCCATCGTGGGTAAAATTTATTTTGACACAGTCTCTTAGCGTAATACAGTAATATTTCCTGAGCAATAAATTGCGCTCGAAAGTTCATCAGTAAATATTACTCTATAACACTGTGAGACTATCAAAATAAATGTTACTCACAATGGAATTATACTCCACCACAGTGCACAAGTTCTGTTCTTATATCAACAGAGTAATTTAACCACATTATTTAGGTCTTCTAAATCTCTAATCTTTCCTGAACCTAACCCTAACGTGAAAATATCCCTAAACTAACTGTAATCTAACTCGAACCAACCCTAATGTCGCCTTTATTAGGTTAACCTAACCCTAACTTGTCCTTGGCTTAAAGCGTAACTTAATCTTTCTCAAACCTAAGCTGAAACTTCCCAGATATCCCATTTAATAGCATAACACTTCGATGAGTATATTTTATTATTGATGATGACAACATTATTTGCCAGGTTTCACTAACTTGCTCAGCAAGTGTTTCAAGGTCATTGGTGCGGTCGTACTCCATTGGTAGTTAGTGGTGCTTAAAGTTTAACTTGACCGAAGATTTAAATCATGAAATCAAACAAATAAGGAAAACACTAATAGTGAATAACTTCCCACTAGAATTTATTCGAAAATGTATGAAGACTCAAAGGAAAAATAATAATCAGTAATGTAAATAATAAGGAATTCAAAGCTTCGATTGTATTGTCGTATAAAGAAGGAACATCAGAGACCCTACGTAGGATTCTTAATATTAAGCTGGAATTCGGAACTTACTCAAAGACAAACTTTATTGTCCTAATGACTCGATAGACCCAATTAGAAAATGTATTTTAATTTAGCAGCTGCCATGTAATAACTGTGTGATCAATTATATAGGTCAAGCTGATAAATCGCAATTATTTAGAATATCGGGACACAGAATTTATCTTGAGCTGGAATGATCGATCTTGTCAAATTAAATTATCTAGAAAAAATCTCTGCTACTGCAATGCATTCACTTGCATATAATCACAGTATGGAAAAGTGATATAGTTCGGGGAAGAGAGAGGTTAGTCGGCGAACAAGTGCAATCGAAATGACGCAACACTTTTACCGGATATATGAAAAATTAGAGAACAAGTGTACATTGAGAGGGGGAAAAGAATAGAAAGTACAAAATGCAAATTATGAAGCCGTGTGAATAAATTGATATGATTATGAGCAATAAATTGTGCTCAAGACGTTAATAATACTGTACTACTATGTGTTATATCAAATAAACTTCATTATTATTATTATTCCTTTGGGTTCCGAGTGGAGCACTAGGGCTTCAGTAGCACTTCTCCATTGTGTCCTGTTCTGTACAGTCCTCTGTAGCTGGCTGCACGATCACCCATGAGGTTTTATCTCCTTCTCACACGATCTCGTCCATGTCATCTTCGGACCCAAACCCCACTCGGCTATCCTCTCAGACGATAGCCTAGCTTGTGATGTCACCCAACGGTCTCCTCAGCATGCATCTGTTCAACCTCCATTTTCTTTGGGATATTTGTTCAGCAGTAGGTTCTTGATTAGTCCGTTCCCAGAGTTTCTTGTTGCTAACGCTTTCTGGACATCTGATCTTCAGTATGGAGGCAGCCAAGTGGGCTGTTCATAAAAGTCTACAGTAGTCTATTGAAAATGCTTTTGGTGACGTGTGCTTCAAGTTTCTGACCCATATAGATGAACTGACAATGTTGACGTTTCGAAACCCGAATTTTGTTCTTCTTGCTGAGTGCAGAAAATTTCCAAACTCATTTCACAGTGATGAAGGTCTATCTCGCCTTTCCGATCCTGTCTGGCTTTAACATGCTCATCCGCCTGTGGTTGAAATGACGCTGCCAAATAATTGAAGGTAGTGACCACTTTCAAATTTTTCTCCGTTGATAATGATTGGTGTTTGTTGTTGTTGGTTGGTTGGTTGGTTATTTTCACCACCTCCCTCTTCTCTGTGTTCACTTGAAGTCCTGCCTTCACTTTGACATCCTGATTCGTGCTGCCTGCAGTTGAAACGATGCTGCGTAGATAGCTCAAAAAAGAGATGACCTCCTTCAGATTTCTTGCGTTGTTAGTGACTAGTGCTTGTTATTGTTGGCTGCATTTCTTCATCACTCCTCTCTTCTGTGTGTTCACTTGAAGTCCTGTCCTCTCTGCCTGACTCTTCTGTCAACTTGTTGGTTTTCGCCTGTAAGTCTTCGAGTTTGTGTGACATGAGACACATAAATCATCCACGCGCGAAATCCAGATGTTTTAGAGTCTTATTATCGGCGGTCCACCGTATTCCTGTCTTCTTAACGCTCCCCCCACAGTGTTCTGCATAATCCAATCCACCACAATTAGGATTATCAGTGATGATAGGAATCTGTTGTGTCTTACTCCTGTCTTCACTTCAAAGTCTTCTCCGCTGAGTTTTTCGTTGTGGATCACTTGACGCATAAACTTACCGAATATAGAATTATAGTCCACCACAGTGGCCGAATTCTAATCTTAAATTGCTGGAAATTAACTGTTTTTTATGAATGCTATTTGGTTTAGTTCATAAATGGGTATAAGTGCATTTAATCAGACGTGATTATGATACCTAGTTCAATACGTTGTGACAATAGCAGAATACCCACTGTACTGTATAAATCAATTGAACGGAAAAGTGTTAACCGTCGAAATACTAACAAAAAAGAAGAATTCAGCAAACTGTGTTATCACTGGCTAACCAATCTAGTTAAATATGAGATTTGTCTTCATCAATTATGTACTTAATTACACTCATCTGATTTTATCAAAAAATTAATGTTATATATAGGTTACAGGGTTTCATCATGAGCTGACATCGGTTAGAGAACCTTTGGAAAGCCACCTGGGAGTACTGGACAGCCAAATGTTTCGTCAGCCTAGTTTGGGACTCTTTATCAGCACGCACACATCACCAGGGTTCGAATCCAGGACCTTCTGGTTACAAGGGGAGCTAGCTCGTAGACAATTAAGCCACTGAGATCCAATCCAATAGCCAGCCTGTGAATTCCAACTTCTGCCAATTCGCGATATAGCGTGACCGCTAGCCAATGTCTTCGGAGAGTATTTGTCGTCAGCAGGTTGGGTGTGACACCCAACCTGCTGCATTCTACTGGTCACGGCTTCCCTCTAATCTGTGTCAGCCCATGATGAAATCTTGTAACCAATACTTGACTATTAATGTTAAACAGTTAAATTCGATCTGCAGAAAGACTAGTTTGACCCAGGTTTCGTGCTTATTGGCACCTACCAGTCACAGTAGGGCATATTTACAATTTTGAAGGAACTCATATCCCACCTGAGATTCGAATCCAGTGTTGCAGTTACAGACGTTACCACGGATAAGTCACCTAACATGATGTCCACATTTCAAACTTGACTGGTAGAATTCAGTCTGCACCAACGCCAAGGACTGAACTAGTATCACATTGGATACCACCCAGTATTCAATCAAAGTAAAGATGAATGTATTAATGGAAAGCCTGTGTGTGTAAGAGAAAGAGGAGAAACATCTTTTGTGTACTGATAAATGTGTAGGAGAGAACAAAGAAAACTATAGAACTCAAGTATCGAAATGATTGTGAACAATAAATTTTGTTCGAAACCTTGTCATCCAGTAAATGAATAATACTGTTTCACTCTGTGATACATATAATAAACAAACTAATATGGAATTTCTTCTGTGTACTGCCTGGAGTTTCGTACTAAAATCACCGCCTTTATCATAGTATGCTTTGATACTTCACAAATATCACTTTTTTTTCTTGTCACCGAGCAATAAAAGACATCATTACAAGTTGTTTTTTTTAACTAAGTCCATCTTCTCTTGAGAAAAAATAAAACTGACTGTTTATTCGAACAAGTGTAATTCTGCAATTAGTTGTGTTCTCTTAGGAACTGGTTGGTTTAATTGCAATGCTTTCATCGTCCTTCTGGACAACATCCCCCTTCATCGCAAGTTTTAGCATAAAATGAACTGATTGAAATATCTCCGTGAATGATAGAATTGTGTCTCCTGGCAACCATCTTGAGGACTGGTAGTCAACTTACATCTGTATTGATCATTCTTTTATCAACTTGGACACACACAAGCCAGCCAG